CGGCCCCAAGAGCGCCCAAGAGCGCTTCCTCCTCCTAGACGGCCCAAGACTGAAGCCCTAAGGATGAACCCAGGCTAGTTCACCCGATCCTTAACTTACCCCGAACCTTAACTCACCCGATCCTTAATAACCACTACCGCCCAACTCGCCCAAGCCTAACTCACCACTTGCGCCTAACCCACCTGGTCCTTACCACACCAGGTCTAACTCAACTGGTCTAACACGGCCTCAACTCACCCAACGACTAACTCACCCGGTACGTAGTTCACCTGGTACTTAACTCACCCGGCACCTCACTCACTTGAAGCGCAACTCATCAAGCGCTTAACTCACCTGGTGCCCAAACCACCCTCCCTGTGTTCCGCATGGAGTTCGGAGAATGAACGTTTAGATAGCCCCCCGTAGATGCGGATAAGAGTGAGGGGGCGGTGGGGACGTCGGCAGTTTGCGAGTCTCTGGACAAACCCGCCGCAGGAGCCAACGTTTCACAAATTATACACTGAGCCCGCCGCAGGCGCCGATTTTGTCGTTACACCAATGTGGGTAGGTGGCGGGTGGGCCGCTGGTGGGTCGCAAATGGGTCGATGGTGGGTCGCGGATGGGTCGATGTTGGGTCGCGGGTGGGTCGCGGGTGGGTCGCAGGGTGGGTCGCGGGTGGGTCGCGGTTGGGTCGCGGGTGGGTCGCGGATGGGTCGCGGGGTGGGTCGCGGGTGGGTCGCTGGGTGGGTCGCGGGCGGGTCGTGGGTGGGTCGCGGGTGGGTCGCGGGATGGGTTGTGGAGACGGGTTGGGTCGCAGGTGTGTCGCGGGGTGGGTCGAGGGTTGGGTCGCGGGGTGGGTCGCGGGGTGGGTCGCGGATGGGTCGCGGGTGGGTCGCGGGTGGGACGACGACAACAAACAACAACAACAGCAACAACAACAACATCAACAACGACGGCAACAACAACCACAACAACAACACCAACAACAAAAGCAACAGCAACAGCAACAGCAACAGCAACAACAACAACACTAACAACAACACTAACACTAACACGAACAACAACAACAACAACAACAACAACAACAACAACAACAATTACTAGCACGTGGGGACACTCCGTTCTCACCAGTGCCAGGGTTTTCATATGAGGCGGGCAATACCCCCACTTTGTGGGGGGGCCGGTTCAAGCTCTACCAAATTTCCAAACGACTCTTCGCCACCACCCACACCCAGCTTCCCGCCCTATGACGTTCGGACACTTCACTTCGTGGCATGCGGACGACCGTGGCTACTATTCAGGGCCCCGCGGCCGACGACGACGGCGTGCGCGCGCGAAGAAAAAACGAATGTGTCCCGCATGGTATTATTTGACAGGGATGATGGCCCTGGCAGGTGCGCAACCGTTGTCGCAGAAGTTCGAAAAAGTTGCTCGCAAAAGCCCGTTTGACAGAAATGTTTAAAAAGTGTTGGGTTTCCTACGAATCCGCAAGAGCGCGCGGGATGAGATTTTGACATTTTTTGTTGAAAAACCATTGGTTTTTTGATGTTTTTATGTTAAAATCGCTGCGAACACTAAGGTTTTGGAAGGATTTCGTCTTGCGCGCGCGAATGTCCACTTTACCTTATTTTTTGCAAGGGATTCTTGAAATTTGATTATATTAGAACAAGAAATGTCATTTTCTATTGTTTTTTGCAAGGGAAAGCGGATTACAACAAAACAACCGGATCCTGTACACACCCTCTTTTCTGAGGCTTCCTCACGAAAATGATGAAAATGTAGCTGCGGCCTAGGCGGCGCAGGGGGGGCGCGCACCAGGGGGCCCAACAATAATTATTCTTTAGAATAAATAATGTTCAACAACAACAAAACAACATCATCATTAACAACATTATCAACAACAAACAACTACAGCATCATCAACAACAACAAACACAACGACAACGCAACACACATAACCCTCACCACGGATCCTGATGTCAGCCACGCAACCAGGGACAAGGCATGACCTTTCGGCCCCCTCACTCCGATCTGTGTTCCGACATGTTTTCTTTTATGCAGGGGAGGGAGGTCGTGGGCGAAAGACATATCCGCTTCGGCGGCCTCGCGGGCCGGGCCCCTGGGCCGCGGCCCCGCGCGCACGGGGCGCTTTCGCTCGCGGACGGCCCGCGCGGAACGTCCCCGTGCGGCCGCGCGTCCGCGGGACCGCGCCCCCGAATCCAGACCGCGAGGGCGCGACACGATTTTGCCGAATGCTGTATCATCGGTTCCGCTGCCATTTCAGGCTCCGCCGTGACAAGCACGGCTGCAGGGCGCTCACAGGCCCCATGGGCCCACTTCGCCACAAGGAGGCGCACGAGTCGTTGACACCACTTCTGCTCATCAGGTGGCAGAGCACATCGATTTGTGGTGAGGTGCACCACGCAGTTCTTGGCGCTGCAATTTCAGTGTCTGTGGCCGCGGACGCCTGCCAGGAAAAGGATACCAGGAAGGATAGGGGTATGGATACCCCGATCCGACGTTGAACAAAAATACGACACTGTAAAAAAAACGGCGCTGGGAGCCCCAGGCCCAAGCTTTCTGCGTCCTTCTTCGGGCCGGATCGATCCGTGAAGCTCCCGGGCCCCGAAGTGCAGCGAGAACGCCGGCAGGGAAAAAATTGCAACGCCAGGGTCTCAGGGCACGTTTGCCGCTCGTGAGAAGAGGAGGAGGAGGAGGAGGAGGAGGAGGAGGAGGAGGAGGAGGAGGAGGAGGAGGGGGAGGAGGGTCCCTGGAACAACGGGCTCCTGCAGGATGGACTGGATCGTCGGGGCACCCTCGCCCTCCGCGTCGCGGCCGCCGCTCTCCGCAGCCTGCCGGGCCCCGCGGCGGGGGCGGGGCCGGCCCTGCGGCCGCGCCTGCCCCCGCTCCGACGCCTGCTCCCCGGAACTCCAGTGGATGCCAGCCGACGAGAAGCCTTCCACAAGAGACCCAACCCTGATGAGGAGCCAAGCTCTATACACCGATGCTTCTGGAACTCGAAAAGGAACGCGGATCCTGGTGTATGCGGGATCCTGGTGCATATCTTTTTTGCTTCCCCGAGGAAGCGGGGAAACGGCATACACCACACCACCCCGATGTCGCCCCCGACCTCAAAAAGTCCTGATATTGAAAAACAGCCCGCCACTGGTACTGTATATGCTCCAGTTTCCGACCTGAGACCCGAGGACGCCCATGGATCGTTGAGGTGGGAACGTCGCGCTCTTTCCAGAGCAGAACCGTCAAAACCCAAGAAACCCAGGGCACCCTGGAGGCAGGCAGGGTGCTTCTTGGCAAGGGCCCCCACTGTAAATCGGGACTCTCTGCGATTCGGCGGCACTGGAGAATGTCTCGGGCGTCGCGGCTTTCTGGGAGCCTTCCCGAACGCTCTGAGAGCGTTGCGGAACGCTCTGGAACGTACTTGTCGTCGTCCTGGCCCCGTCCGGTAAACCCCTCGTATCGTGAACAAAAACGGTTTGATCGGCGGCGCCCGACCTGCCGCGGAGCGAATCAGGCACAAAGGCGGGGAGGAAGTCGTGAAAAAACACTGCGGGAGGTGTTTGGTATTTCATGCCGTCGAGGGCCCTTGCTAGGCCCCAAAACCGTCGATAGACGACCCGCGACGGTCCTCAAGCGGCCCAGGAGTATCCCGAGTCGGCGTTTCCAGGAAGTCAGGGGGCGGCAGTGCCTCCTCCTAGGCGTATTCAGCATGTCAATGTATATACGAATACATACAGGTCCAACTTGTTTATGTTTTTCTTTATCCCTCTCTCTCACACTCCCTCTCTTCATACATAGAAATATCTATATATAAATATAGATCTAGATATAGATACACATCAGAGTATATACATACTAGAACCACGCGCGCGCTACGCGCGCGCTTAGGTTCTAGCCGGCCCAAGCGACGTTATTAGGTGGCACGCGTCCGACCCCGTGGCGTCACCCCAAACGCCCTAGCACAATATCACCATGATTCCCAATCTCTAACCCCCCAGCACGAATACCCGAACTGTGACGCCCTAGCGCCCGAGCGCTGTAACCCTAACCCTACCTCGCACGCCCCTGTACTCGAACCTTGGCACCCTTATCCTAACAACAAAATCCGAATATCCAAACCAGAAATCCGATACCCTGCACCCTTACCGTAGCTCAGAAGGCCTACGCCAGAGCACCTCCGCGATGACAGACTCAACCTCATGCCCAAAATCTTATACCAAGACTATGGTCTTCGCTTCGTCCAGACCCGCTGACCGCAAGGTCGCCGAGTCAACTGTTATATCCGGACGGTCTGCCAACGGAAAGTGGGCTGCAAGAGGGCACCCAAAACGGCAACCATGTCCTTCAAATTCATCGCACGGCTCGAAGCCTCGGAGATGCCTTCAGGACGGCCCAATATGCACCCGTGACGCACAACGATGGGCACCAGATGGCCCAGGACGGCCTGGGGGCCCTCACAGATACCTGCAAGAAGGACCTTCAGGATGGTATATTCATTCATTTTCCACATGTGTTTCGATGATTCTAGCGCCCTTGTCTTTTCAGGCATCCAATGCTCTCCAAGACGACCCCGTAAGCCACCAAGATTGTCCTCCAAGACGACCGAAAAGGGCGCCCAATAGGCCCGCACGCAGCTAATTTCCAGGCCCCTCATTCCACGCGCACCCGCTTGAGGATCATGCACTTCCCGCGTACCCAGGCGACCGAACATAGATTCAAGACGACCAAGGATATCTCCAAGAGGGCCCGAAACCGCACCAAGAGGACCTTCAGCAGGGTCCGAAGAAGCAACCATCATTGGTGTCTCTGTTTTTTCATTCTTCAAGGCCACGTCTGGGGTGGGTCAGCCGTGACAGTGCAGGAGAGACTAGTCCCAAAGTCAAAGGCACCCGCGCGCAAGCGTTCCTGTACCTCTTCATACGGCAGCTCGTGTGGCGCGTCTGAGTCGAACACTTATGACTCATACTCCTGGGCCCAGCGCTTGGCCTGCGTGATCAATTGTATCAGCGTGGCAGCGATGTGAAATACTGCTGTGTTTGCAAATCTGGGTATTGCTGCAGTTCCTTCGCTGTCAATACACCGTAGTTGATTAATTTCACAGGCCGTTCGCCCCACCAGGATGTGTAAATAGTACCCTCGTACCGCTGAGGACCTGTCAGCTTCAGGTTATTGAAGACAACCTTCCAGCCTGCTGGAGCGTCCTTTCTCTCTTCGGTGTTACCGCCAAACGCAATCTGAAAGTCCAACCTCCCGTCCAAATCCTTGTCCGGCCTGAACTCTTGAATGTCGTACATGACGTTGTGAAAGATGCAGCGGTCACCTGTCCTGCAGCCCAAGCCCTCCGCGGTGCCATCAGCGCTGATGCTCGCCATGAACAGGAAATCGTTGTCCGTCTCGCCCTGGTCCTCCACGATGTCGCACACCAAATACGTTGAGGATCCCAGCCCCAGAGTTTTCGAAGATCGAGCATTTCAGCGCGTTTCTCAACGTCCACCCGTGACGCCACGAACAACACTGAGGAGGCAGTGGCCGCTTGCACAGATCCTGCTTTCGACGTCGAGGATCCCATCGTGCTGAGCAACAACGAAGTGCGCGCACTGATGAGGTTTGTGCTGCAGACCTGGGCCACAAAACAAACTTGAGTCAAAATGGCTACCGAATCATTGGTACCCCTTCAGTTTCAACCTGATGTTCGCAGCCTCGCCTTTTCGGGTTGCCGTCAACTCAAGACGGCCCAAGTGGACCCCACGTTTGGCCAAAAGGCATCCAAGACGGCCCAAGAGGACTTCTGGTGGGACCCAAGGCACCCTTTGAAGGCCCCAAAACGGCGCCAACACGGCCCCACGACGGCCCCCAGACACCAACCAAAGCCTCAAGCAGGATTGAGCGGGCACCAAAACGGCCCAAGAGGGACCCACCGAGTCCCCAAGACTGCCTCACTGGAGGCCAATGCAGCCCGAACACGGCCCAAACGAGTTTCATCGTCATCGTCATCATCATCACCAGTATCATCAGCATCATAATCAAAATCATCACCATCATCATCAGCATCATCATCACATCTTCAACATCTTCATCCTCATCATCACCATCAGCATCACCATCACCAGAACCGTCACCATCACCATCATCATCATCATCATCATCATCATCATCAGCATTATTGTAATAACCATCGTCGTCATCGCATCAAGGCCACCAGCACCATCATCATAATCAGCATTACCACAATCGTCATACTTATCATCATGTTCACCCCCATCATTAGAATCATCATCATCATACCCATCGGGCTCAGCGCAATCGGCATCGTAAGCGTCGATGGCATCGTCGTAACCATCATCATACCCATCAGCCTCATCAACACTCATCAGCATTGTCATCCGCATCAGACTCCCCATACACATCGTCATCACCATCATCATTATTATCATCAGCATCATCACCGTCGTTATCACCATCATCATTATCATCAGCAGCATCATCTTCGCCATCACTTCCAGTATCATCATTATCATCGTCATTCTCGACATCACCATCATCGTCATCGTCATCATCATCATCATCATCATCATCACCATCACCACCATCATCATCATCAGCATCAGCATCATCATCATCATCATCAGCAGCATCATCATCATCATCATAATAACCATCGGCAACACCATCACCGTCATCAGAATCGCCAACACTATCAGCAGAACCAGCATCATCATCGTCATCATCACACCCCAACATCCTCCAACATCTCATCATCCTCACCGAAGCTTTCTCCAGCATGGAGGCCCGGAATGTCACACGTGACGGCCTCCCGCGCCGCCTCGAACAACCGTCGCCCAGAAAGCTAGGCTGGCACGGTGGCGGGACTTGCCGCACGCAGCTGGATAGTGGGGGTGCTCGTGGGGCCATCTTGGGGCCCCCATTGACGCCCCGTCGTCGTCGTGGCTGTGCGAGGGGGGAACAAGGAGGGAGAGAAGGATAGTGGAGGAAGGAAGCTGGACAGGGAGGGAAACAGGGAAGACCAGCAAACAGGGGGGAAAGAAGGCAGGAAAGAACAGCGGCAGGGTAAGCTGTCGCTTCCATCCTCGCATTCGGAATCCTTATTCCGTCCGGCCGCCTCCTCCTCCTCCTCAACCTCCTCCTGCTCCTCCGCCCTCTCCTCCTCCTCCTCCTCCTCCCCCTCCTCCTCCTCCTCCTTCTCCTCTTCCTCCCCCCGTTGTTCGATCCTCATTATCATCCTCGTCTCCTGCCTACGCCCTCCGTTCCCCCATCGTCTTCTACCCTCCCCTTTCCCCTCTTCCCCGCCCTCTTCCTCGGACTGGCGGCGAGAACCATGTTCTCAGAAAAGGCTTCCCGCGAACATGATGGTTTTGGCCGTGCAGGCAGCAGCGAAGGAAAGAGCAGCGGCCCTCGTTCCCCTCTTCTCCACTTGTTCCTCCTCCATCTTCTCCTCCTCGCACTGTCGGCGGCCATCATTTCCCCAAAGCGCTCTCCGGGGAAATTGTGGGTTGGTCCCTGTTGGGGCCCCCTTCGGAGGCCACTTAGCCCGCCTTTGCGCGATGCGAGAAGGACGGAAGAAACGAGCAGCGGTTGAATAAGGGCTGCGGCCTCTCCATTCCGTCCGCCCGCCTCCTTTTCCTCCTCCTCCTCCTTGTTTTGTCATCACTATTATCATCCCAACTTACTTCATTCGCAATTCGTTTCCCTCTCCAACCCATCCTTTTCGTCCTCCTCCTCGTCGGATGGTCATGCCCCTGTGGATGGACATCCCCGGCTTAAGCTTCTCAGGCCAGCAGGTCGGCGAACTGCAGGTCGGCGAGCTGCGGGCAGAGTGGCTCGTACGGCCGTGCTGTCGCCGTGCCGTTGAGGTCCTTCAGGTACAGCGACAAGATGTAGAAGAAGGAGGAAAACTCCATAAGCATGAACTTTTGGCGCTCCGCGCGGGTTTCTTGGATCTGCGCTGGGATCCCCCAGCGGCGCCTCCGGCGCCGCCCCTGGCGCGCTCCGCGAGCCAGGGAGGGGGGCCCAGCGCAGGTCCAAGAGATCCGCGCGGTGCGCAAAGAGTTTATGTTTATGGCGTCTTTTCCTCCTTCGGAGATGTGCGTCTGCTCGAAGCAGCGGTCGCAGGCAGCGCCCCCGAAGGGCCTCCGGCTGTAACACTCCACGCAGGCCTCAGGCTCGGGAGGAGCGAAGGTGCAGACGGTCGCGCCGACCAGGCCGCCGCGGTCCCGGGCCTCGACGCCGATGGGGTCGAACTGGTTGTAGATCAGGACGCTCCTGTCCGCGGGCAGCGACGCGGGGTCCACGTGCTCCCGACGCCGGAGGGCGTCGTTGAACGCGGGGGCGCTGAGCGGTAAGGCTTTGGGGGTCTTGTGTCGCACACAGACAGCCAGCCCACGCGGGTAGTCCCGGCGGGCCCCCACAGGCCCTCCGCGGAGTCCGGGGCGGTCCCGACTCTCCCCAGCCTTCGGGCGCGGGGCGCCCCGCAGGGGCGCCACCAGAGACGGCGCAGGGGGGGTTGAGGCTAGCCTGTGGAGGCCAGACCCCCTCGAGGAAGGACAAGAATCACGACGGCAGGTTTTTCGCCATTTTCGGTCTCTGGGGGCCCTTCCCGGGCCACGGGGCCGTCAAAAGAGGGCTCGGATGAAAAACCGGTCCTGGGGAATGGGTCGAGACCTCGGGGGGCGACGTCATGAAAAAGTCATGACGTCGGGGGTCTGGGAAGGGGGCCGCCCTTTCAAGTTATAGACGTCTAGACGCATTCCCCGGCAGGAACTCTCGACGTGGACACACACACACACACAAAAGTCCACAACACATGTATATCGGATACTTCCTGAGGGACCACTTGCCGTGGCCAAGGGGGGCTGTCTGTGCCCATGCCAGAGCCCTACCCGCGCTGAGGCCAAAAACCTGCGGCACAGCTTCGCTGAAAAGCCACGATTCATGCCGCTCCTCCGGGCCCGTGGCTCCGTGCCGCCGGTGCCGCCAGCCTCCGGCAACCAGCGCTGCCAGCCCGGCCCCGAGGCTGTGCCCCGTCAGCAGGAGGTCCGTGCCCTCCGGCATCGCTCCCGCTGCTCGCTGTGCGAGTGCGCGGGCGTTGGATCGGGCGAAGTCGGCAGACCACCTCCCCAGGCCGCCTCGCGACTTGAAGAGATCACGACGAACCCTTCATTGAATGTTGCTGCTGCTGCTGCTGCTGCTGCTGCTGCTGCTGCTGCTCTTCGCGAAAGAAGGCCTCCGAGGGGGGGCCCTCACTGGGCCCTGGGAGCGGCAAGAGGAACAGCTCGAGATGAGAAGCCGCTCCGGGGGACTGTGCCGAAGCCCCTGGGCGTCGAGGCCCTTCTCTAGAGAGACACATAGACGCATGTGGAGACTGGAAAGCTCCACAGGAGACAAAAACCCAGAGGCCCGACGTTGTGATTTTTTAATACGGGGTCCCCGGAAGTCTCGACCCATTCCCCAGGACCGGTTTTTCATCCTGAGTCGTTTTTTGATGGTCCCGAGGCCTGGTGAGGGCCCATAAAGGCCGAAAATTGAAAAAAAACGTCCGTCATGTTTTTTTCAATACGTTGGATCTCTGGGAACGTTGCGTCGGCGGCTCCGGGTTGCCCAGCCTGGCCAGTCTGACCCTGGGCCCAAGATCGGGGCGCGCGCCCCCCTTGCGGGCAGTACTTATATCCATATCCAGAGCGTTGTGGACTTTTTGGGACGAGGTGCCGCAACGCCGAGGCGCACTGGATATGGATAAAATCAAGCCTCTTGGGGCCAGATTTTTATGCATATCCAGTGCGTCTACGGTTTCTGGGGAAGAGAGCCCAAGAATCCAAGACGCACTGGATGTGGATATAACTATTGCCCGCCCCCCTGGCCGAGCCACGCGGGGCGCCTGCGCCGGCCCTGGGGGCAGGGAGAGGCCGCGGGGGGCCGGGCCTGAGGTGGTCGGCTGGCGCACCGCCCGCGCTGGCGAGGTAGTCCGTGCGGGGCCCGCTGTCCACCACCACCGCCGCAAGTTGGAGGGGGAGGAGGAGGAGGAGGAGGAGGAGGAGGAGGAGGAGGAGGAGGAGGAGGAGGAGGAGGAGGAGGAGAGGAGGAGGAGGGGAGGAGGAGGAGGAGGAGGAGGAGGAGGAGGAGGAGGAGGAGGAGGAGGAGGAGGAGGAGCGCCAGTGCCCTCCGCAGGGTTCGTCAACGACTCAACCTCGACGCCTCGGCCTGAGCCAACTGTATGGCCTAGCCGCGTTGGACGGAGGGGGTAAACTCGAGTAATTGTTTGGCATTTTGGCTAATGCCGCTTTGAGGGCATCTAGCTGCTGCGGTAGAGTGAAAGGGCGCCCGTGTTGATGCGAGACGATGTCCTTAGCAACGTGGTAAAGAGGAGGAGGAGCAGGAGAAGGAGGAGGAGGAGGTGGTGAAGGAGGAGGAGGACCCCCTCCCCCTCCAACTTATGACGGTGGTGGTGGAAAACAGGCCCATCAGTCTAGCTGCGAGTCCGTGAACGCCGCACAGAACCCAGGCAGGGTCGCGCGGGAGGCGTTCTCCCACAGCAGGCGGCCAGCGCAGAAGTCCGCCTGAGGCGGAAGGAGGCCAAAAAAGGTGCCGATACCGCCACTCCCCAGACCTCTCCCGGGGTGCGTGCTGACAGGGATGTCGAAAGGCGAATCCAGCGGTGGCAGCGAGGGCCTCCGAGGAGGCCCAAGAGGGGGGGGAAACGGGCGAAGGGTAGAGGCATGGGTGCCTTTTTGAAGGGCAACGACAGGGGGAGGCTGGCATAGGGGGGGATGCATCGACCTGGAATCGGTGATACATCGCCGATAGATCGGCGATAGGCCTCTGATAGTAAGTCCGCACCTTCCTGGGCAGGTTGGGGCTATCGGGCGACTATCGGCGATCAATGGGTGATTGGGGATCGATGTATCCCTTCCTATGCCTGTCCCCCCCAATCGTTGCCCCTGACTTTTCCTCCTCCGAGCCTGGCCGCTGGCGCCGGTGCGGTTGAGGTCGGTGCCGCGGAAGGCGACGAGCCCACGGCGGGAGGCCGCGTGCAGGAAGACCAGCGCGCGCATGCCGCCCTCCGGCGGATCTGCCTCTCGACATGATGGGCCCATTTTCCACCACAACCACCACAGGTAGGAGAGGGAGGAGGAGGAGGTGGAGGAGGAGGAGGAGGAGGAGGAGGAAGAAGAGGAGGGGGGGGAGGAAGAGGAGGAGGAGGGGGAGGAGGAGGACGTCAGACCTATCGCCGTCCCTGGTGGTCCTGGGCTCCTCAGCGCCACGAGCCTCCCCCCTCGAGGCGGGAGCGGATGCCGCGAAGCCCGGGGCGGGAGCTCGGACACCAGGGCCAGGGCTGTCCCAGTGGGGATGGGGACAGGTCCCAAGACCCTCGGCGTCATGAGTCACACAGCGTCGACCTCTGGAGATCTCGGCCCATCTGAAAGGCCTGGCGTTTCATCCCGAATCGTTTTTCTCCACACGCTTCGTGCGGTTCTTCTTTTGCCCTCCTCCTCCTCCTCCTCCTCCTCCTCCCCTCCTCGTCCTCCTCCTCCTCCTCCTCCTCGACGCACACAACGATCACACAGCACACACCAGAGACACACACACATACATACATACAAACACACACACATCATACACATCATACACATCATACACACAAACACACTAGACAACACAATTCTACACACGCCACACCACACACACCATACACATCACAGCTCGGACACGCATCACACAGCACAGCGCGACAAACACCACACCACACACATCAGACAACGCACACATACACACCACACTCACTCACTCACTCACTCACTCACTCACTCGCTCACTCACTCACTCACTCACTCAATTACTGACACACAACACACATTAGACACAATACAAGCAAAACACAGATCAGACACACACACACACCACTCGGTGCATTGGGGGTGGTCCTCTTATCCTCGCCTGTCGTCCAGGGCGTGGCAAGCTGGCACTTTCTCCACACCACATCGGGTGCGCAAGGGGTGGTCCCTGAGCGTGGTCTCTATCCGTCCCAGGGTCGTGCGGCGCGGCAGGCGTAGCATTTTGTCCACACCACGTGGGTGGCGCAAAAGGTGGTCCTTCACCGCGGTCTATATCCGTCCCAGGGTTGCGGGGCGTCGTAGGCGTGGCATTCTCTCCATACCACAGGGTGTGTGCAGGGGTGGTCCCTCACCGCAGTGTCTATCCGCCCCAGGGTCGCGGGGCGTGGCAGGGTGGCACTTTCTCCACGACACACGGGGGTGCGCACGGGTGGTCCCTCACCGCGGTGTCTCTCCGTCCCAGGGTCGTGCGGCGCGGCAGGCGTGGCACTTTCTCCACGCCGCATGGGGTGCGCAGTGGGTGGTCCCTCACCGCGGCCTTGATCTGTCCCAGGGTCGCGGGGCGTGGCAGCGGGGGGGTGGTCTCTGACCGCGGCCGTTATGCACCCCCGTCGTCCAGGGCATAGCAGGCGCGGCACTTTCTCGACACCGTAAAAGGTGCGCAGTGGGTGGTCCCTGAGTGTGGTCTCTATCCGTCCCAGGGTCGTGGGGCGTGGCGAGCTCGGCACTTCTGTGTCACCACGTGGGCGCGCAAGGGGTGGTCCTCGAGCGCTTTCTCTATCCGTCCCAGGGTCGCGGGGCGTTGCAGTCGTGGCATTTCTCTACACAGCAGGGGGGTGCGCAGAGCGTGGTTTTTGAGCGCAGTCTTTATCCGAGGCAGGGCCGCGCGGCGTGGCAGGCGCGGCATGTTTCTCCGCACCGCGGGGGGTGCGCATGGGGCAGGTTTCGTGGTTGACTCGCGGCCCCATGTGTTGCATCCCATCAGTTCAACTCGCAGGGGCTCGCGTACCATCCAGATCGGTAAACATTTTGGCTCAAGCCAGCTCGGAAAGCCAAGGTTTTCACGCAGGCGCGCCGTGGTGCCCAATCGAAGGTTGCAGGTGCACGTACATTGCACGTATATTACACGAAATATGTGGGGTCATCCGGTAACGAAATTCTCCACCCGCGTCTTAACCGCGTCTCACACTCACGCACACACACACCTCAACCTCCTGTTTCCTCGCTCATCGCCAATACAGGTGAGGGAACCGAACGGTCATTCATTGTCCGTGGGTGCGTGGGTGATTGGGGAATTCGTGGTGAAAGTTATGTTCGTTGCGTTGTTGTTGCTGCTGTTGTTTTTGCCGTTGTTGCTGGTATTGTTAAGGTTGCCGTTGTTGTTGCTGTTGTTTGTTGTCGTCGTCCCACCCGCGACCCACCCGCGATCCACCTCGCGACCCACACCGCGACCCACACCGCGACCCACCCCGCGACCCACCCCGCGACCCACCCGCGACCCACCCCGCGACCCACCCGCGACCCTCCACATGACCCGTCCGCGACCCACCCGCGACCCATCCGCGACCCATCCCGCGACCCACCCCGCGACCCACCCCGCGACCCATCCGCGACCCATTCGCGACCCACCCGCGACCCACCCCGCGACCCACCCGCGACCTACCCCGCGACCCACCCACAAGAGAGGAAAAAACACTGACGTTTACTAAACGGCCCTGGGCATTTACTAAACAGCCTTGCCCTGTTCGATTCAGTCCATTGTGTGCGTTTACTAAACGACTTCGCTGGCCGGGGTGATTACTATGGCGTATTTTTTGGGGCTTTACACCCGCGACCCACCCGCGACACCCGCGACCCACTCGCGACCCATTTGCGACCCACCCGCATTGGTTTAACGAAAATACCGACTCCTGCGGCGGATCATTTGTGAAACTTTGGCGGTCGCGGAGGGCTTCTCCGGAGTCTCGTAAACTGCCGACGTCCCCGCCGTGCCCTCACTCTTATCCGCATCTGCGGGGGGGGCCACGTACATAACCATTTACATATCCAGCACCAGCTACATCTACATATACATAGTTGCACGTCATCCCCATACACACGTACAGCCGCACAACACATTACACATACACAACATGTTCTGCTCCAGGTACCACCATCGGATTCGCAGGCCGCGGGGTCCGTGGAATGACCGCAAGGCGCGAAAGGCGTGGCACCCCTCGGCACCGCTGGGGGTGTGCTGGGGGCGTGGACTATTTCTAGGCGCACTCAACACAGACGCGGCAATCGCATGAACCACAGGCCTGGCACCTTCTCGACATTAGAGCGGGCGCGCATGGGATGGTCTTTGAAAGCGGCCTGTGTGCGGGTTTTGGCGCAAGGCGCGGCAAGCGCGTCACCATCTCCATGCAAGAAGGGGCGCACAGGGCCTGGCGAGGGGCGTGGGTATTACGCGGCGCAGGGCGCGGCAGGCGCGGTACTTCCCCGTCGCTGGAAGGGGCGCACGCGGGGGTGGTCCCTGAACGCGGTTTCTACGCGGGCCATGGCGCAAGGTGCGGCAGGCGCGGCGCTTTCCCGACGGCGCGCGTGGCACTTTCTCGATGCCTGAGGGGGCGCGTTCCGGTTTGCCCCTCAGCGCGGCCTCTATGCGGGCCATGGCGCAGGGGATGGCCAGCGCGTCGCTCTCGTGGTGGTCTCCAAACCAGGTGGTGAGACACCCGGTGGTGACCCCGATTCCCCCCGGGATAATTCTGGGTCGCCGCCGGGTTTGGGGGCGCGCGGTCGCCACGAGGTTTTGCGTTTCCTGGGCCAGCCGGCGCTCGAAAACCATTGCCCAAATCGCCCAAAACTCACAACCGGGCGTTCTCGCCACCACGTTTGGGGACCACCAACTTTCTCGATGCAAGAGGCGGCGCGCCGGGGGGCGGCGAAAGAGCGCGGTCTCCATGCGGGCCATGGCGCATGATAAGGCAGTCGTGGCACTTTCTCGACGCCAGAGGTTGCGCGCGCGGGTGGGCCCTCAGCGAGGCCCCTATGCGGGCCGCGGCGCAGGTCATGGCCGGAGCGGCACTTTGTTCATTGCAGAACTGTGAAAATTCTGGATTCAATTGAGCGCCCAATGCGGTTGGGCTCTTGCGCCGCGCCGACGGGATGCCAGTCGCGCGGGCGGCGGCCCGCAGTCTCCGCGCGCCGCGCTTGCCGCGCCCGCGGGGGCTGCGCGCCCGCGAAGTCCAGGCTCGCGCGGGCCCGCACCTCCCGGCGGTCTTCAGCACTTGCGCTTGCAATCTCTGTTCGTTCCACTGGCGCCCCTCGCATTCAACTGTCCCCGGGGCCGCCGGAGACGAACCGTCGCCTGTCGCGGCCACCGCGGTCGCGGGGGCTGCGAGGGCCCATCGTCCCTGAGGACATTTCCTCCCGCGCGGATACGAATGCGTTCAAATGGCGCGAGCGCGCGCGAGCGATTTGACTTCCAACGCGTTGAATGCCGATATCTGGAATCCTACAGAATGGCTGTTCCCAGGCCCCTCCCGGTCGCCCCGCGGCCCGACGTGCTCGGTGGAGCCAGCGATGAGCTTCGCAGGAGGTGAGCGACGTCGCCCCTGGCGCTAAACCTTTCGAACGCCGCGGTGCATCGTGGCATCGACCCTTGGCGCGTCTCGGAAACTGGCGCGCTTTGCGCGCGGCGTGAAGCCCTGGCATAGCGGCTGGGCGCGGCGACATTCCCCGACCCATCTGGCCAAGACGACCTGCGGCCCGACCCTTTCAGGGCCGCGCGCGCCGCGCAAGTGGTTGCCGCTTGGAACGACAGCAGAGCCGCGCGTCTCGCCCGCGCGGACGTCTTCTCATTTGCCGCAACAAAAAATAGAAGTCTTCGCATGCGTTTTTTTGATGACCTGTCGAACATGAACTCGCCGTCGGCGCGCGCGCCCAACTTCGGAAACGCGTGTTGCGCCGACGCTGCGGCCCAGGGCCTGATCTACCCCGCGCCTCGGAGGCTTCGGAATGTTCCAATCTACGCAAGGGCGTCGCGCAGCACGGCCGCTCCGGCGCCGCGAGCCCCACGCGGCGTCGCAGTGCGCCTTGAGAAACGGCCCAGGGTGACCGCTGAGTTCTCGGATCGAGCATTCGTTCACCGCGGCCAGCGACCCACATCTAATAGCAACGATGTGCTTTGGAAACCAGCTCTGGCTCGCAGCCCGGCCCCAGTTTCACGCGACCTTGGCGCTTTGAAAAGAAAGTCGCGCGCACGTCTGCCAGGCCGGAGATTCTTCGCAGCGGCGACGCTGATCCGACGCCGCCGACACGAGGAAGAATCGCCTGGCGCGGGAGACGGGAAGGACCCCGCGACGGCGTCAATCGACGAGGCCGGCGCGAGCACTACTCCGAGCCATGACGTCGTGGATCTCGCGGCAGGTTGCCAGAAGACCAGAGACCCACTCGCGACCTGACCATCTTCGCCGCGCGCTTTGCCGAGGCCTGTGACCGGGACTCGCGCGGGGAGAAGAACGGTGCCCCCAGCGACCTGCTCAAGACCCGCCACGTCCTACAACTTGGCCACGGCGGACCCAACGAGACACTCGCCGCCCAGAACCTCGCCCCTCAGGCGCTAAACCACATCTGGCCAAAAGAAATCAAAGACAATCCAAAGCTTGTCGTGGTGGCGTTCTCCAACGCTCAAGCCAGGAACATCTCGGTGGCGGACGCGCAGGCCACGGCGATCCGCGGAGCTGGAAGCATGGCTTCGCAAGAGCTGACGAACGGCAAGGTGCGGCCAAACGACGGAACGCTCAAGAAGCTGGAACAGCGCTGGCGCCGTGTAGCGCCGAGCGCCGAGCGAGCATGATATCTGCTGCCCTCTACAAGATGCTGGGCGCCAGATGTATTTCTGGCAGGGGCCGCGACTCCTGCGTGGGCGAGTCCAGCCAGAGGCAGAAACGTCACCATTGTGGGCGGCAAGTTCCATATTCATACAGTTGGGTGGCTCTCCCCCACCGCGCCCGGACGAACGCCACGGGGCTGATCAAGGACATCCCAGAGAAATGCGAAGACGGCAAATACAAGTTCGATCAACCTCAAAGCGCGGCAACGCATCGCGCTATTAACGCGTTCGGGACAGTGTCTCACGCGATCCATCTGAAGGGCGCCAAGGGATTCAAAGTGGGCGACCGCTTGTAGAGCTTCTCGTCTGCACGCGTTGCGCTCGACGGATTCATGATGATGTCTGGGCTGCTTGCAAGGCTCGGGTGGCTACTGGCTGCGCGACCAAAGCGAGGGTCCCGAGGCACAGCGAGCACATGTTTGCGGCCACATTCTGGATGGTCTGGCACAAATGCACGCTGTGCCCATGCACATCTCCCTGGAGAATCGTTGACTGTTGCGCCACGGGCGTGCCGCTGGTCTTCCTGCAATTCAGAAGCGACAGCGTCGTCTGCGGCGCGTCGCAGGACTATGTTTAGTCCGGTGGTAGGTTGATGAATGTACGAAACACTGGCGGTACGGCGCACACGCACGGAATTCTTCCTGCGCGCGTGGATGAACTCCAAGCGCAAGAGCTTTGTCCAGGAGCAGAACGCATTATCGTGAGCTTCGTGATCGACAGCAGCGACCAGGACAGGTACGACGAGTGCGCGCTGGGAAAGATCAGCCGCCCGTGTCTTCTGCCTGCGGGTGTCTGGATGCAGATGCGCAAGTTCCAGAAGCAGAGCCCAAACGTGGTCGCCACCCTCATCACCGCACGTGGTTCCACGCAGGCGAAAGGCCTTTTCTGCATCCCGCAAGGCCAGACTATACGTGTCGGGTTGGCAATCGGCTGTGCGCAACACGCAAGAATTAGCAGACAGGGGGACAGAGTAAAAAACTGGTGACTGCACTGGTGAATAATCCTCCGGAACGCCACTTGCATGGACGATGTGTTCTTGCTTCGGCCGCCGCCAAGGGGTCTTGCAGAAAGGCCAAAGTCCATCGGTGCTGAAAGCCCTCCAGAGGTTCGATGGGCGCATGGCCATCGAGACGCCGGGGATCGAGGCCCTCGCACTGGAACGTCAGCGGATTTTGCAGGCGGCGCGAAGTCGTTGGAGTGTATGGGCCCGTGCGTCTTTACAGTGGCCGTGGAGGCGAATGGGATCCGAATGCACTCTGGGTGGCTCCAGTTGGGAGGCCCGTGCTGCCCTGACGGAGCGGGGCACCGTAGTCGTTCCGACAAAGGCACCATGTTCCAGCCGCATCGGTTGCGCACGGCCAATGCCGCTCCTTGGCCGCTCCTTGACGAGACCAAAGCTCCTGGCCACGACTTCGTGCAAACCGTAGCCGAAAGATGTTCCGTTGAAAGGCGCTCGCCGACTACGTGCACGCGAAATTTGCCTGCCTGCAATCGCCTTGCAAGCGCGGCTCAGAAACCTTCCGTCGAAGAGACGTCAGGGCAGAGGTGTCAGGTGCAAAGGGAAAGGTCGGCAGACCTAGGTGAAACAGGGAGATAGGGTCGTGGTAAAAAAAAAACAACAGGAGCGGCGGGATAATGGATCACTCTTTCTCGCGTGGGGGCTTGCGCACAGAAACTATCGCGGCACTGGAAACCAGATGTTGACATACTTCCAGTGGGTCCCTTGATTAACCGCGATGTGGCAATTCGGTGTGCATTACCTATTGCTTGTTGCCGCTCCAGGAACCGCCCCTCGTTGGCCACCTCGGACCTATCCCCGACGGAGGAAAGCTGGGAGGAGGGATGAGGTTCAATCGTTGATGCGATGGATGAATCGACCGACGAGGGTTCATGAATATACCGACGACGGGCGTTGATGATACACTGATACGCGAACACATGAACCTTATACTAAGTATGTGGGGTTCCTCGGTAGCTTGATTTGACGGTCACCCAGCCCGCCGGGGACCAGAAAATACCCAAACACATCCCGTTGCGAATTCTTCACGACGCGAGGGGGGGTCTGGGGACAAGTCCAACGATGCAGAGCCTCCAAGGCGTACAGCCGCTCCCAGCCGTCCCCGAGCGTGCGATTGACCTCCTGCTCGCGGCGGTAAGTGCCTGAGCATCGCTTCACGGATCCCTATCCACACCAGCGTGGCGGGGGCCCCACTTGCCAATTGACCCCCCCAGATGGGGACATGGGCCGCCTCCTTCGGGCTTCGAGAGGTCCATCTCCCCGAGCTGGGGTGGTGAGAGGAGGGGGGGGGGGGGTCACGCTTGGCGCGGGGATGAGGACGGGGGTCGGTTGAGCGATCCCGTTTGCCGAATGTGGCCGTGTACGTCAGGCGCACGGCCTGCAGCGCCGGCTGCAGCAGGGCTTGGTACCGTTCCCCGCCGCCGGCCGCCACCGCGGGGCGCACCAGCGGCCACCCGGCCCCCGAGCTCTCGGCGCCTGCCCGCGCGGGCTCTTCCGCCCAGCGTCGGTGGCCCGATCCCTACCCCTGCTCGCATCGCCGCCCCGAGCCCCACGACTTCACGAACCCAGCTGGGGGCATGCCACTCGCGACCCGAAGGGGGGCCAACAGCCCATGTGCCCTATCCAGGGAGGTGAGGCTGCCAGTGGGGCCCAGGCCACGCCGTTGGGGAGAGAGGGGCGGCCATAAACAATGATCCCCCGCCACCCCTCCATCCACGGGGCCCGGATCTGCGACGATGCGAACAATTGTCCCAACTATCTGCTCTCGCTCGTGCCCACGACCATGGGCGATAATTATAATCCTGTCTTGGGCTCTTGCTCTGGATGAACCACTGCTGGTCTCCATTCTCCTCCTCCCCCCCATCCTCCTCCTCCCCCCCATGCCCCATCCTCCTCCTCTCTCCCATTCCCCTCCTGTTCCTCCTGACTGAACCACTGCTGGTCTCCATTGCCCCCTTCCCCCTTTCCGCGTCGGCTCCCTGGAGGTCTAGCGGGACGACGCCGTACGGGGACCCTAACGAATCCTCACCCTCCCGCGGAGCTGCCGCCTGCGCATCAATCGCCACGTTTGCCGGCTCCTGGACGATCCGTCAGACTGAGGCCATACTGGGATGCGAACCGAGACCTCGCCCCATCCGCGGGGCTGCGACTTGCGCAACTGGCGCCACTTTGCCTGAGTTCCTGGGAGGCCCAGCGGGGTAATGTCATACAGGGATGCGTATGAAGCATCGCCCTCCCCACGTGGCCGTAAACTACGCAACGGGCGCATATTTCGCGAAGGTCCCTTCCTGGGAGGTCCAGTGGAATGACGTCATACCAAAGTCCAAACGAGACCTCGCCCCTTCGATGGGGATTGCTACCTGCTGGCACCACTTTCGCGGGCTCCTGGGTGGCCTGGCAGGTGACGACCAGTTGACTATGAGAGCGCGGCGCTGTCCTGTCACTTAGCTAGCGGCTCTGTTGCATCTCACAGCGCTAAGCGCTGAAGCGCCAAGTAGGATCTGCCGATTTGGTTGTTTAGCCGATGAGGCCCTCCCAGACGCTGGTGGGTGCTCTGGCTGCGCTAACCAATTGGCAACCACATCGTCGCCCCTCTTCCCCACGACATTGCTTCCGTATTCTTGCTGACATTCCTCACTCCAGTCCTCAGTGTCAAGACGGCCCTCCCCGCCTGGATCCTCACCTCCTTCCTTCCCCTCCCCCTTCTCCTCCTCCTCCTCCGCCTCCTCCACCTCCTCCTCCTCCTCCTCCTCCTCCTCCTCCTCCATCCCCTCTCAACTCCTCCGCTTCCCCACTTCTCCTCCAATTTCCCGCCCGGGATCTCGGGCAAAAGCTGCCCCGACCGTGCCACTCTGCCCCCCCCCCCGTCCCTCGCACAGCCTCCGTTGTCCCTTCTCCCTCCCCCCTTTCCCCCCCCCGCATCCTCTTTTCATCCTGTCCCCTTTGTCTCCACCTCGTTCGTTTCCATCTTGCCCCCTGGATCTCCACAACTACAGCCGAACAAATGCCCAGCAAATGACAACATGAAGGAACTGGGCCAACCTTCTTCCACATCATTATTTCAACACGCTTCGGCCAAATTTCCGTTGTTAGTGCTGGCGTGGCGGCCGCTGACCGGCAAGCTGGTGAAATAAAACTGACCCAGATATTCAGGATGCGCTTTCTCCGTCGGATGAGCGACAATATTGTTTGTGGAACTATTTAAAGAAAAAACTTAGCAACAACAAATGAAGAGACAAACCATGTGAGGACCAGAGAGGTGTCTGTCGGGTGCTGGGAATTCTTCGCGCGCGGGACCGGCATGGTAATCTGTATTACGGTTATGCGCACCTGGCGCATGCTGGATCAACGTGAGTTTACTGCGTGGTGGGATGCGAATGAATATTGTGAGGGACATTGCTGAAATCATCTGGTCGTCCTATGATGTCACAACCCGCTGGCCGAATTCCTGAGCGATCTGTGATGAAACACCTACGTGTTTTGATGCTTTCTGCGTAGATGCTTACATCACGAGTGTGATCAGTGTGCTTTCGACATGTCGCGCGCGTGTGGGTTCGGTGCCGCGTTCTGATTCCCAAGAAAAACGACATGAACGCGTGCGCACGCATGGTGATGTTTGACAAAGATCACACGGGGGGGCGATACCGGCCTGGCTGGGGCCGATCAGTCCAAGCCAGGGAGAGGGGTGGAAGGCAACTGTGCCCCACAGTGAATGAATTCGTCCTGTAGGGTTCGCATTTGTGTTCTGTGGAACCGGGCCCGTGCGTCAGTTTGGTGGCTATGGTGTCGCCGCCCCGTCGCCGCCCATCGTCTGGGCATGTGCGTCAGTTTGGTGGCTACGGTGTCGCCGTCGCCGCCCCGTCGCCGCCCATCGTCTGGGCATGTGCGTCGGTCTGGCGGCTATGGTGTCGACGTCGGCGCCTCGTCGCCGCGTCGTCGCTGCCCCTCGTCTGGGCCCGTGCGTCCCTCTTGCGGCTATGTTGTCGCCGTCGCCGCCCCGTCGCCGCTTTCGCCGCTCGTTGCCGCCGCCAGGGTCTCACCTCTACAAAAGAAGTCGGGTCTCCCCCCCCCCTGGGGTTGGCGTCCACCGTAAAGATGTTGCCATACCCGCCCAGCCCAGCAAGGATCGACCCCCCACCATCCTCTGCACAATAGCAGCCGCCTCGAAAAAATCAAGGGCGAATGTGGGGCGGCAGGCGCACGCAAGCGTTGTCGCTGGCGCGCGTGGTGGAATCCTTCAAGCACAACTTCTTTTACGTAGGATGTCGAAATCGAGCGTCCCGAGAACATCTAAACACATGGAATTGCAACGTCAATGCGTGGATGCGAATTCGCATCGGCACCATTGCAACCAGTTTATGACATGTAAATACGTTCAATTTCGCGCGCGCATGTCGGAATCATTCCAACGCCCTTGCGCGCCTGCTGGGGGGTGGCACGGTCCTAAAAAATACCCTGCGAGCCATTCGCGCGCGTCGGCACGTGCGCTTCGGCCACGCGCGCGCGTCAAAATCCTTCACAAACCTTCACCAGCGGCGGAAAGACACCATCATCGTCATCGGCGTGATCGACATCGGCACCAGCAGTGGCCTTGCCGTCGTAATTGTCATCATCGTCACCATGATAGCTATCACCAACGTGTTTACCATTGTCGACGTCGCCCCGCTACCGCGCCCGCCGAAATCATCGACCCGCATTGAAGTACCAGCGAGTCAGTGCGGCCTTCCGGACGCGCTGGGAATTCCCAGCGGCCAACGCCACATCGGCCTCGTCCGTCGCGCCAAACTAGCTGGCCGCGGTGCGAGCGAGCGTGCGCGGTCTAGCGCGGCCGCGGTCATGCACCATCTAGCACCAAGCACTCATCGCGATCGCCCCAACATGGGTTTTGCAAACCACGTTGCGGCTGGACGTGGGATGATTGCACAAGAAGTGGAATTGGCAACCCAAAGGTTCTCACAAGTAATTTCCGCATCGAAGAAATTCGGAACTACCACCCCCCCGAGGCCGGGATGATCGGCCCCCCAGGGGGGCTGGACGATACACGCGAATCTCCCCCATCGCACAGTCGAAATATGAAATAATGCTATCCCATCAAAAACCGGTATCGAACCCCAACCCATCTTTTGAAACAAACGGTAAGCGTGCACAGTCGCATGTGAAGAACCAGCTCATCTCAAACATCCTGCGCATCAAATTCCACGAAAAAAGCATACGTGCGCGTCGTCGCGCGTATGCCGGAGTCTTTCGAATACCTTGGGTTTCGGGGGTGGTTCAGTCGAGTATCCCGACAACCATAAAACAAATGGTTGTGCCACACCAGCTTTCAAAACAAATCTGCGCGCACTCCTGCGATGCGAATCGAAGACGAGGAAGATGAGCAGGATGAGGAGTAGAACGAGGAGGAGGACGACGACGACGACGATCCGGATGGGGAGGAGGACGGGGAGGAATACACGTAGCACGAGGACGAAATGTGGGCATCCGTGCGGGGCTACGCCCGATTTATGATCGCCGTTTGGGCTGGCGGTTGGGCCAAGCGGCGAGCTGTCTTATGATTCATTAACGACGCGATGCTGTCTGGGCCCATACGTCGACACCATCTGGCATTATGTCGGGCGTGTGTCACAGGGGGATCTTCGACGAAAAAATAACAATACCCCACAAATATTCCCAAAAGGTAAAACAAATACACCCAAAACATCGTCTCCTGGCGATTTTTATTATTTTTTGGCTATTCTTGAATATCTTGAATTTCTCGTAGAAGATCCCCCTGTAGGGGGACGGCCCGACTTGAATCTGGCAGCTCCCAGCGCACCTGCCTCGCCCGGCGGCCCTGCGGCCCGCGCGCCCGCCAGGGCGGCCAGCAGCACGGCGCCCGCGCCCGCCCAGGACCACGGCGCCCCGCTCCGCTGCCGAGCGCCCGACCCCGTCGCCATCGCTGCCGGGCCCCGTGGGCGAAGAGGAGGAGGGGGAGGGGGAGGAGGAGGAGAAGGAGGAGGAGGAGGGGGAGGAGGGGGAGGAGAAGGAGGAGGAGGAGGAGGAGGAGGAGGAGAAAGAGGAGGAGGAGGAGGAGGAGGAGGGGGAGGAGGAGGAGGAGGGGGAGGGGGGGGAGGAGGATGGGGAGGAGGACGATGATGATGAG